GCGTTTTTTAGGTTTAAAAACCAAACCATAATAATTAATATAATAATTAATTATTAGAAATTAGATATTATAACTATTATTATAGGTCCAAAAGTTAAATGGCAATTTTGTGGTACTAAATTGTTTCTATAGAATTGTTATAACAACTTTATTTTTATCAACATTTTTATTATTAAGTCGTTTCAAATTCTGTTTTCCCCAGTTCGGTTCCAGCGCTCGAGTAGACGGGTCGCGTGCGGGCGAGCTCTTGAAACGTAAAGGTTTAAAGATGAAACCAACAATAATTAAAAAAATAAAGTGAAACAAACATTTTCATGGAGTGCAAGCTGGAGTGGTGTAGTGGTGTAGCGGTCATTGAGGAGTGGAGTGTTGGAGATATGAGTGACTTGGGTGCCACCTGTCATTGGAGGCTTTTCACTGGAAGGACGGGGGAGGTCGGAGAAGAGGGGAGGTGGTCATCCGCAAGGGGAAAAATCTGATAAGTTTTACTTTAAGAGTATGCATGACCTGATACAAATCTGCAATATAAATACGGCAGATCCTGGCAAGCATTTTCCGTTACTTGTCTCCATTAACATTGCCCGTATTCATTTCATTAAACATAACATTTATTTTACTTGAAAATGTTAAAATAACTTCAAATATGATTATGTTAAGAACATATTTTACTCTTTAAACAATTGTTTTGTTTTTAATTACTATCATTGCAAAATTGTATTAAAAAGTGTTAAAAATTCTTACACGGGCAATGCTAATGGTGTTAGGTATCGTTAAAGTGTTTATTGGGATATCTTTAAAACCTATGAAGGGCGCGCGGCGTGGGGCAATAAGTCTGTCAACGGCAAGTGCGTAAAGCGGTCCCAATCGAGACCGAATATAAACACTGGACTGACAGAGTAAACTAACATTGATCACATAATTCTAACACATTAAAAAAAGGGCCTAATAGCCAAACTCGAGATTTGTAAACATTAGACGACAGAATGATCGCGCTTGTGATTTGTTGGACTAGTGAATAAATGCAATGCCTTGGAATTTGATAAACAAAGACGGAACTCTACCACAAAACGTGCTTGGGACAAAAATTATTAAAAACAACTGACACACTTTACCAAGGGCAGGAGCTATCTGACCAGGACACGGACAACGACAATAACGAACAAGACAAAGACCTCGACTACACCCCTGCAGCGAAATAACAACTCCCCAACTCCAAATAGTAATCCCAAATGTTTGGAGTAAAACTAATCGACTGGTCTAGGGGGATTCCGCGTCGTACTTAGTTTTAAGTCGGCGTAATTGTCCCCCAAAAACCAACTCCCTCCCGTCCCTCATCCACACCCCACCGAGCGTATAGCATAGGCTCGGCGAACCCGGGAATGGCTATTATAACTATTCGCCTCTCGCTCTCGAGCCCCAAATAGGGGACAGTACGAAACGCAATGGACATTCGCACCCAGCAAACACGGGTGAAGCCGTGCAGTTGCTGGTGAAGAATAAAAATCGGCGCAAGTAAACATAGGCCTGTACGGGGTTCGCGAGTCAAGAGGAAATGGGGCTGGTTATACGTCTCTTATACTCATACTCATACTCAAGTCGTTTCAAATTCTGTTTTCCCTGTTGTATTATCGGTTTGTAATCTGCCTACCTACATTCGAACAAACACAGGCCTTTAAAAGTTATAACTTCTGTAAGTATGAATTCTAAAAAATGGTAAAGGAAAATTTGTCTTGAAACTTTAAGAGGAGTTTACCTTTACCCTTTGTCTGCCAATTTTAAGACACCCTGAATACAAGGATACATATTTAGTGTGTACATGTTCTATAAATTAGTAGGTACATTTATTCATAAAGTTCTTTAAAAACTATTTTAACAATTTAGAGTATTATGGTACGATAATGGTTACATACTAGAGGTTTTAATTTTGACTTTGCAAACAAAGGATTTAATTTATGAAAATGGATTATATCAGATGGTAAAAAAGTTACCTGATAATAAATGCTGTGATAACTTGTTTAAAAAAAATTAAAATATTTTGTGATTGAGAATTTGTGATATACACAAATTATTAAAAAAAAATAATGTATTCGTTATAAGTTTTAAAATAGCAGAGGCTAAATAAATATATTACTATTATTTTAAATCGAGGAATAAACTACATAAGCAATTTTACAGTAATTTTAGCTTTAAAAGCAAAAATGGAAATGCACTTGAATATATGCATAATTTATATGGATTCCAAAACTACCCATTTGATATTTAAATTGCTTTACCTTCTTTAGCATGTAGCTGTAAACCTACAAAAATCCGGAATATTAACAATTTGCCCGAATATTACTACCTCGAATAGTAAATTAAATATAAGCCTCTAGTAACATATTGGCGCCCAACAGGGCGAGGCTTTATTAAACTGCCTATAAATCCATACAGAACAAAAGACTAAAGCTTCTAATTTTAGCATGATACAATTTATCAAATGATAAATACTTAATTTAAAAATGGTAGGTATAGGTATTTCCGCATACGCTTCGAAAAATGCATTTTATGCAGAATATTTCCCCGTTTTATTACGACCAATCATAAAAACGCCATTCAATTTTTTAAAACACATATCTTGTCAATTTTTGCTGTCTCGTAAAAGTTTACACCTATTAGTATGGTGAACATAAATATGTCAAACCCTATTTAAAAAAGCAAATCATATTTTAGAATATCAAAAACAATTTTAAGACTTAAAAATTTTGTCTATAATGCAAAAATAGTATATTATGTATCAAGTTTGATAAACGCCATTTTATACACGAATTTAATTTAAATTAATGAGTGTATAGAAAAGTTTATAAACGAGGTGCATACAATACTTTTTCTACGACAAATACTTATTATTATCTTAAAATCATTTAAATCAAAAATTTTTATAGAGCGCCATCTATGAAACAATAGGGGAATCTGTGTGTCACCGTCAAATGTCACATTTTTAAATTTTATACACACAGATTATATAGATTATAAATGTATTTCTTGAAAATTGTCAGTTTTTCACAGTAAAAGTAAAGAAAATGTTTTATGAGGACTTTACAGTGGAGTCCGTGCCCGAATTTAAGTTATAGTTTACTGCCGGCGAAATTAAAAGGTATAAACTTTTCAAATATTGGCGTTAAGAAACTATTTAATACTTTTGTATTTTTGTATTGATATAATAAAATCATTTTTACCTTTAGTATTATACAAGAAAGGCAATTTATTTTAACGATTGTATGACATTTGACAACTGTCAACTAACTTAAAACTAACTTCAGCCCGTGACTAAAAACCTGTTGCTAACTTCAGCCCGTGACTAAAGCGCCATAAAGCCACAACTTGTCAATGTGTATTTAAAAGTTCTCTTAGTGTCATGGAAACATATACTATAAAGGGCGTTTTAAAGGTGGGAGTAGAAAAACTATTTTTTCCATCTCTTAAAGATTTAAAGAAGTATATAACCAAATAAATTCATTTTAATCCCAGTCAGGAAAAATTTAAAAAAAAGTCACCAGAAAACAGGGAATTCAGGGAAATTTTATTTAAAAGAATGTGGCCACCCTGTGTAACAACTTTAACCAGTCGATTTGAAATTTGTTTATCCCGTTTAATCTGAGCAGAATTTGCTCCTTTGTCTCCCTATGGGTATACTACTAAACTAATTAATAGTAAATGTGTCTCATCGATTTGTACAAGTTCCTTTAAGTCCTTAATAATGCAATGTGTACTCAAATAATTACATTAAACACGAACTGGAGCTGTTTGCTGAATAAATAGACGTTTGTCTAGAACTGCAAATTTAGATAGACGGTACACCTAATTCCTTATACCGACACATCCAAGGCCTCAGAGGCGCATTAAAATTAAACATGCACGTATGTAGTAACAACGAAACGTGTCAATAATCAATAACGAATATAGCTAAAGACAAAGAGCTCTCATAATATTGGAAGTGTTTTCTATTTACACAGATAATTGCTTTAAATATTTGCTCCAATTTCTACCATAACGATTATTAGAAAATACATTAAAAGACATGAATGTAAACATAACACTCGCTTCGAGAAATACAAATAAGGCGTAAATATTTAATTAGCTAATAGTGTTTTGCTCACGAATACTTTATTTACTTAATAAAAGGGATTAATTTAGACATTATTAATTAATAATGTATATGACTGATTTATCAACGCCCATACCAAACTGCTGGACCTAAAGGGCTAAAGTGCATTTCTATAATGACTGAATTTTTTAAAATTTCACCTCCAAGTGGTACCGAATTTCATAGAGTCTATGAAATTCGGTAAAAGAATACTTATTTTGATTGAATAATGCTTATCGAAAAGGAACCAAGCGCCAAAAACTTCTTCAGGTAAAATTATTTGTAAAATAACTCATATTTACTAATGCTCAAAAGCTTAATCATCATTTGGAACTTTTCTCTAAAGGATTGAGAAGGTTTCTAAATCATTATTAATATTTCTCGTAATTAATTATTAATTTTTAAATTGTTATTTTAAATATTGGCCTCAGTTGCTACATAAAATTTGATTTAATTTAGCAAATTGTTTTTATTTTCAGACTTAAAATTAAACGCAAACACAATAAATTTAAATTTGAAGGTAGTATTATTAGTATAGTATAGTATAGTATTATTAGTATTATTACTACCACAGATCATAAATACCATTTTAACAGTTATAACTTAGAAGTTGCGACCAAATCAAAGAAAATAATATTTTCAAAATATAAATAAATAAACCAAACCATAGATAACCAAGTTATCTCTGACCAAACCTCGTAGATATAGACAAATTCCCAATATATGCAACCCAGTTTACATCCGTTTGATTTTTACGCCATTATAAGTTTTTAAAGCACTACTGTTGTTTTTAATATAAATTTATATTATGTTGTTAATTTATTTTAATTATTAATTGTTAATTATGTCAAATTATTGTAAAATAAGCAATTTTTACCTGTTGCAGATCCCTTTGCTGTACTAACCGCGGCGACACCAGCGGCCAATTTCCCAACTTCATGTAGAACTGGAGGAACTAAATTTGGAATTTTTGTGGAATTTGCAGCCAGTAGACTGCCTAAAGCACTTTTTGTAATTTTATTATTTTTATTCACTTCCATATTGGGTGTTTAAAACAATTCAAAAAACATGCGCAAGTTAACCTAGAAATTACCGATTTTTCATTGTTTTTATTTACTACACATTATTTTTATATCTGTAATTATACGTGTTAATTTTAAACATTGTTGCCATTAGAAAACCAATTAAACACCAAACAACTATGATTTACAGCACTTTTTGTGGAGCTGTCAAATATACTTCTATTTCTTTTCGCGTATAATTTTGTCGTACTGTCGATTTAGATACATTTAAACTGCAAAACAAACCTTTATAACGTCTTTTACACCGAATTTTCTGCCTATCACGTCGAATTTCTTTTAAAACAAACCCTTCCAGCTTGTTTGCTGGAAATTTGACATTAATCGACCATAACCTCAATCTCTGACAGTGATGGTGGGGTCGGGAAACAATTGACGACCGTCAGTAGTGATGTGAAATTAATACAGTGCGGCACCGAAAAACATGGAGAAAAATACGAGTAATTTTCAGCGATACTTGAAGCAGTTCATTAAGTTATTATTTGGACTTGTTGAATGTTTTGTGCATTGGTTGTTTAGTAAAATATACCGTAAAGATGAGTCTAAATTACCCCCCATAGAGGACTTTATTCTCATGGATTCCGCATCCACTCTGGCTATGAAAATACGGACAGGAAAGGTAAATTAAATTAAAAGTTTTATTTGGTTAATTAAATTAAAGTGGACAGTGTGCTGGTTAAACCTATATAGGCAATATTTTTGTCTTTATGTATATTTCTTGTATTACAGTTAGATAAAAAACCTTGGTTTTGTTATGCACTTATGGTAGATTTACTACAAAAACGTGGAAATATTAAATCACCCTGCCTTTCAATGATTTAAATTAGGTAGGTATAAGTAGGTAAAGGATTTTTTATCTTACCTACTATCTTAATACTATCTTAATACTTATCTTAATACTTGACCAGCTTTGTTATTTGTAAATTGTAATGTAAAATAATTAATTATAAAGAATACCTACCTATGTATTTATATACAAAAATTACAAAACTATAAATATAAATAACATTAAAAATGTGTAGGTAATCAAGATTGTGCACTATGCAAAGTGTAAACTTTATTATAATTACCCTATAATTTATAGGCTCTAAAGCTATAAAATTAAAAATTTTCATTACTTTCTTTTATTTGTCAATAAGGAATTCTCAATGTGTAAAAGTTGGTTGGATTTGGGTAAATTGTTTGATTTTATTTTTAAATTTTTAAACTTTTCGACCTTGACTTTGTCTACACCTGGAGCAAGAATAGAAAAAGATTTAATAATATTTATAAAGCCATGATATCATTGTTCAAAGTACAATACCTACCTATTTCTTTATATTACATACTTAATAGGTTGCAACTTAACTAATTTTTTAGATGTTAATGTATTTTATTCAATAGTAGGTAGGTAGTACATAATAGGTTGGAACTTAAAAAAAATTTAATTTATTATATTTTGTATTGAAATATAGTGAAAAATTACAACCTAAAGTAGGTAGGTAGGTATGTAGGTAGAGATGTAACGTGAAAAAAACTTTTTTGTTTTTTTAGGTTGTTGTCAAATGTTTTTTTTCACATTTTAGGTATTTTATTATTCAAACTTTTTTTTATTAATCCAATCAAGCAAACTTTTGGCGATTTGGCATTAAAATATAGGTAATTTAAAATGTTAGCAAAAACTTGTAAAATGTTAATCAACGAAGTCGAAAAAAAGTAAATAGGTACATTTTTTGAACGAAATTTAGTTTTCCACAAAACAGGTCATAAATCTCTAAAATTAAGGTTTTAAGACCTGAGAAATTAAAGTCATCAAAGTTTAGCAAAATTTCAATAATAATGGTTTTATAATTAAATAATAATAATAGGTATCTATAATTTATATACAGTGTGTCCCTGCCATGGATGGAGTTACCAATAGGAAAAACTTTTTTAAAATGCGTTTTAGGAAAAAAGTCATTCCTTATAAAAAGTCCTGCTTAATAAAAAATAAGATTGCGATTTAAAAAAACCGATCATTGTACAGGGTGTCCAGAAATTAAAAAAATATGAACATGCTCAAGATAGAAGTACCTTTATTTATTACTTTATACAAAAATTTTATAAGAGGAAGTCGTTGGTTATTTTATTTTAGAATCTAAATAAATAAAAAATAAATTTATAAAAAAAAAAATATTTTTGAATAATTTATCTCCTTATCAGAGGTTTAGATTCTTTCCCTTGAAAATACTATTTGAGTTTTATCTCATGCTTTCTAAGGAAGAGCGATTTTATTTGTTAAAATGTTATGGGATTGGAAATGTATCCCATGCTTATGCAATCGACGTTTTTCAACAAAAATATCCTAATACAGCAGTATCCAGTTTAAAAAAATTGGCGAAAAAATTTGACGAAACCGGCTCTCTTTTGGATAAAAAGAAGAAAAAAAGAATAATGATAAAGACGATGCAGCAACAATTTTGGTAATGCAATATTGCATTGCCAAAATTGTTGCTGCATATATATCCGAGTATATATCCCTTGAAGAAAATCCCTTGATGTCTCTTGGCAAACGTGCTCAAGATTTAGATATTAGTAATAAAAGCCAAATTCAGCGTATTTATAAAGAAAAAAAAAAGAATAATGATGAAGACGATGCAGCAACAATTTTGGCAATGCAATCCCTTGAAGAAAATCCCTTGATGTCTCTTCGCAAACTTGCTCAAGATTTAGATATTAGCTTGAAAGCCAAATTCAGCGTATTTATAAAGAGAACAAAATTTATCCGTATAATTCTTCAAACTTTGATTTTGAATATCTTTTAAATGGTCAGAGTAATCGCTTAAACACATCAGTCCTTTCTTGTAGAGTATTCAATTTACTACAAATATGTATAAAGATTTCATTAAACGATTGATTAATAATAAAATATGGTATTTTTTAAAAGGGACTAAATAAACAATGAAAAACTGCGATGAGGAAAATCTTCCTATTAATATTAAGAGCTCAAATTTGGTGAGCACTTTCTAAAGGTACCTAAGAACCAATTTTTCAGTATCAAGAGTAAAAAAATATTATATACCTACATATAATATATATAAGATACTTGTGCGTCTGAGTTTTATTCAAGCGAACGAAAAAAATCAAGATTTACCTATGACATGCTATTTCAATAGAAAAACTTTCTTCCAGTTTTTAAAATTATTGTTAAGAACTCAAAATTGGACTGCATTATTTGTTACATACTAGTTTTAATTACTGACAAAATATTTTTTATTGTGAATTATTGTATTGGTTAAAAAAAGTTTTTGTTTTTTTGTTTGTTTTTTTTTCTACCGAAAAAACAACGTTTTTTTACATTTCCACCTATAGGTATACAGGGTGTTATGTAATTAATGTTATATATTAAAATACTCAATACCTTTTGACATAAGGAATAAAGGAAAAATATTTAAAAAAACATTTTTCCAAAGATAAAGAAAAAATATGCATTAGAAGTTTTTTATATTTTTTGTGATACGCCACTGGTTACACACTTGTTTTAAACAATAGATAATATCTCTGCACACCTGTATTTTGTGAGTACATACCAACCAACAAAGTAGCTATGCGTTGCCAGATGTAAAAAATTGTTACTAAAAATTTTTCTTGCAAAAAATAAATAAAAACTCAATAAATACAAAAGTTTTATGCCCTTAAAGCTCTAATACCCTTGTGTATTTATTTACTGATCCAGCTATTAGCTTAAGCAATGATTAGAAAATTTAGTACCTTTGAAATTTGAAATCCATAACCACAAAATTAATTTTTTCATCAGTTTTTTTCTCTGTTTACTCAGATGAAATTGGGACCAGTTCACAGGTTAAACTTTAAACATTTAATTTGTGTAAATAAATCCAAAAGCACTTCCCTTAGTTAAGATATTTACAATTTGAAAACATAACCTAAAATTTAAAACAAATGCACTAGATTCTGTCATAAAAGTTGGCAGATTTTGTTTGAATTTACCTTCAGTACAAAAATGAAATAACCAACAATTAATAAAAACGCCAAATTGACAATTTGTATTGTTAATTTTGTCATTTTTGTAATTAAGCTAAATTTAAACAATGTTTGTCAACTTTTTTGAGAGATTTTGGAACCACTGTTGTTACCAACCATAACATTATAAATCCACCAGATTAACCTAAAGTTCCTAGTCGATCAGTGGCGTACTTTTTGGTAGGATAAAGGTTATTATAAATTATTTTTAGACTTTGAAATTTAGAAAAAAAAAGTTTCAGGTGCTTCTTTATGGACCCTAAGGAACAACCCATTTTAATATATAACATTAATTACATAACACCCTGTATAGGTATATATATTATAATTTAATGACAAAATTTAACTTAATAAATTTAATGTTTTAAAAGATAATTATTTTTAATTGACCAGTAATTTTTGCACTTTGCCTAATTAACAACAACCTTCCATTAGGTATATGCTTAATTATTACATTTGTACATGTTATAAAGATTGTAGTATTCTAGTGCGTTTGTATTTTAAATAAAATATAATATATAATATAACACCTACCTAGGTACTACCATGTTTTTATCAAGGTACCTAGCGTTTTGAAATAACTTGAAAACGCGTAAACAATAATAATTATATAATTACTTATTTAAAATTTCAAAATGTTTACTTAAACAGTATTTTTATTGCACGGTTGGTGCAACCGGGTGATAGTTTGATTAACGTCGCCGATTGGAAATAGAAAAAAACTATTTTTAATCGGCACACAATGGCGATTTAAATTTTATTTGCTTATTGCCTATTTTTAAATTAAATATTTTCAGTGCAATTTAACCCAACACTTTTTCATGGCTTGCCTAAGAGTCCGATCTCTACACATTCAAATTCAAATAGTTATTTATCTCATTAAATTTAAGTTTGGCACAAAAAGTCTTGGTTCTTCTCAATTCAATTCATAATTTAAAGCCAATTTTATTTTTTTAAATATTCCTATTATGCGCTTATATAAGCTTATCGAGTGAACTAGCCTAATAAAGAGTAAAAACAAAAAAAAATTCACACCTACTAAAATATTTACTTAAACCGTATTTTAACGCTAAAGGTATAGAGTGCAAAGTACCGAGGGCATCCGAACACCTTAAAAGAGAGTGGGGATATTTTGCACTGGCGACGGGACACCGCAATCGGTAGATTCTGGAATTTTTTTTGATATGCTCACTGTACAAAAAAAAATTGATTTTTTGGAATTTCCGCATTTATAAGCTCAAGATTTTTTTTACAAAGATGTTAACAATTGACTGAAAGATATCTGAATAGTTTTGTAAACCAGTTTAATATGTTGCAGAATTTAATGAAACATGACCTTAAAAAAGGTTTGATCTAATTAAATTTATAATTAAAAATTATGCATTTATGGAAGCAGACTTTTGTGAAGTTTTTATGTTATTTTTATGCTATTTTTACTCATTTTGTAACGGTGTTTTTTGTAACGTTGTTTTTTTTAAATGATCTTTTAGTAAGTTCGAAGAAGGGCGTTATAAAAACATATTTATGTGAGTTCTTCTGTTTTGTAAATTTTTAAAAAACATGTATTTTCCATTATTTTTTCTGTAAAGTAATTTTAAAAAGGAAAACTTTGTCTTGAAGGCAAAGTTACAGTAGGCACAAGTATGATTTGCACCGATGCATCGCGATGCCCACTTCTGCTAAAAACTAATTACTAGCCCCATAATGATATTTAAATCCCAAGCCATTATGAATCACTTCAGTGTCGAGTTTTGGCAACAATAAAGTTTAATTTATAGACAGCTTGAAGTTAAAAATTTTACTATAAAGAAAAAACTCGTTATCTTGCTATAATCTAGATGAAATAAAATTATGCCTTTACGTGTTTTTAACGCATTTTCGAATCAACCGTCACAAAAAGTTAATTTATTATGATTTGATTTCTTAATTGCCATATTATATACATATTAGGGTGTTTCATTTAAAACGAAAATTTTTTTTTCTTGCTGACATATGAAAATTTTGTTTTTTAGGTTGAAAAAAAAATTCCCTAAAAATTTGAGCCCTTAACTTTTATTCTAAGTACTTCCTTTTTAATTTTGTAGTTTTTCCATATAAAAAGCATGTATTTTTAATCATTTTTACTTTATATTTCTATATTTTGGCTGGGTTTTGAATTATAATTTTTATCACCATAATTTCCTGCATAGTATTCACGGTTTTTGAAAGGTCCTGCATCAATTTTGTTTTTGATTGTAGTAGCTCCAAAAGTCGTTTTTTCACTTTTTCTCACATATTTTGGAGAAAATCTAGCGAATGACTGGTTTTACCGAAAAAGTTCAAATAAAAAAGTTGTAGGAAATTTAATTTTTGACAAAAATGTTTCTTACGTTCATATCACTAAAGTGCTTTGTTTAAGAGATATAAGTAATTTAATAACCAAAAACAAAGAAAAAATAGGTTTTATTGAAATTTATGTAATTTGATTCAACAAATATATATTGCTTATATCTCTTAAACAAAGCACTTTAGTGATATGAACGTGAAAACCTTTTTTTGTCAAAAATTAAATTTTCTACAACTTTTTTATTTGAATTTTTTCGGTAAAACCAGTCATTCGCTCGATTTTCTCAAAAATATGTGAAAAGAGTGAAAAAACGACTTTTGGAGCTACTACAATCAACGTAAATAAATCAAAAACAAAATTGATGCAGGGCCTTTCAAAAACCGTAAATACTATGCAGAAAATTATGGTGATAAAAATTATAATTCAAAACACGGCCAAAATATATAAATTAAAAGTAAAAATGATTAAAAATGCATGCTTTTAATATGGAAAAACTACAAAATTAAAAAGGAAGTACTTAGAATCAAAATTAAGGGCTCAAATTTTCAGGGATTTTTTTTTTACCTAAAAAACAAAATTTTCATGTGTCAGCAAAAAAAAATTTTCGTTTTAAATGAAACACCCTAATACATATATATATATATATATATATATACATATTAAGTGGAGATAATGTTAATTTTGCTATGCTATAGAGAAAGAACAACCGTTAATACATTTCTTAGATCGTAAATTTAAGAATGATCAACGATCCTAATATATCCACTATAAAATTTGGGAGTACAATAGATCAAGTGTTTGTTAGATATTTAGACAGATTACAATCAAAAATGTTCATTTCATACTTTAGTTATCATAAGCCTATTGTTTTGGAAATCTGACCTTAGTACAGGATAATAATTAATTAATTATCATGTCAATCTTAATTTAAATTTTTATATAAACATTTTTACTGTTTTTTTTATTGATTGAAATTATTTATATATCATAAAAACGAAGAACTCGCATGTTATTGGAATGTTTTTCCGGTGGACAAGTCACGATATAAATTATATATAATTTATCCACATTTACGTGTTTAAATATTAATTTCTGTGTTTTTATCTTTTAGTTAACAAGCGAAAAAGTATTAGAATCCTTCATTGACAGAATAAAACAAGTAAATCCTATAATAAATTCGGTGGTCGCCACTCGATTCGACGAGGCTAGAAAAGAGGCTAAATCGGCCGACGAAATCATCAGAACTGGTCTTATTCCATTGGAGAAATTGGAAAAGGAAAAACCATTCCTCGGTGTACCGTTTACTACAAAAGATTGCATTCCAATAAAAGGTGAGGAAAAATACTTTAAGATTCAATTATTAACTAAAATACATTTTTTTAATATTTCACTTATAAAATATTTTTTTCCTGTTGCAGAATTATATATAGGGTGTTTTAGATATTTGTGGCATACCTTTGACAAATGAACTTTTTAAATTAATGCAATAAGCTCTTATAAACATAGGTTGTTAAACGCTTAGTTTTTGAGACAAAAAGTGTTCAAATTATTTAATTTTAACACTTCGGATCTCGAAAACTAATCTATCTTTAAATTTAAATTTTTAAAATTACGAGAGAACGCTTTCGATCATACGGTAGACAACATACGCCTAATAACCTAATTCAGCGAAAGCTAAACTTGGTCTATAGTTACAATTATTTTTTTCTGCATGGCCAATAACTTTTCTAGGGTTCTTTGGGTGTGCTGATTTTAAAATTGCTTTTATTTTGCTTAATTAGCTCTTGATTTGCGATATTGTGAAAAAACTGTTTTTTTTGCAAACATGCGAACATTAAAATTCGGATATTTTATGACGCCAGTATTTTTTGAAAAGACCTTATATTTTTAAGGAAGCAGAACTTTTTATGAGTAACTCTTTTTTGTAAAATAAATTTTAAAAAATGTAGAGAACTTACGTAGACACACTATACCTATATGAACTTTAATGTTGAAAAAACGTTTTTTTGCAGTATCTAAACAAGAATGCAAACTGATGGTCATTTTTGGAATCAGCGCACCCAAATTACCCTAGTATAGTGTAATTAATTATAGAAATTATATTTAATTAATTATAGAAAATTATGTTTCATCGAACTATAAAAATCCGAATATCCCAAAAACGGCTAACTAATTAATTATGACAGGAGTACGTTTTTGTTTTAAAAATGTGGAGGAAATAAGTTTTTTATTAAAAAAGACAAAAATTACACTCGGAAAAAATGTATTGTCATTTTTATCCATAAAAAGTACAATTTAGACCGCTCTCTAGTGGCTAACGTAAAACTGTCCACAATACGTGTTCTTATTCCATTTCGTATACCATTTTTTAATGCAATAAGTCAGGAAATTTAAACTATATTTTTAAAAATTTATTTTTAAAACTATCTCCAAAACCAAGCGTTTAACGATATATAAATAAAGTTATACTTTTTGCATTTTAAAAGTTCTATCAGGTGTTAGTTATGCGAAAAAAACTGAAACGCCCTGTATAAAAGTTTTGGTATGTTGCTATAGATTTTGGTGGTTGCTATAGATTTTCAAATAACACATCCACACACTTTTTTGTGGCTGTGTAATTTAATATTGATTATTAAAAGTACAAATTACTCCCTTTAGTATCACCTGCATCAGCCTGTATATCATGGGCGGATTCAGAAAAATATTTCGGGGGGTTTTCCAAATATACATTTAAGTGGTTCTCAAAAAAACCTTCCTGAATTTTGGCTCCATATCGGTAGGTACCTTAGAATGAGAAGGTTCTAAGTGCAGCTGAACTGTTAAGCGAAAATGACTTATTTACAATATTAAATATTGCAGATAAGCTATTTTCGCTTAACATGGCAACTGCACTTAGAACATTCTATGGTACCGATATAGCTTTTTAGAATTTTTCTGTGTTACTATGAAATAATATTTGTACCGATAGAGGAACAGGGAAGGCTCAGGCTCAAGTATGCTATGAAACATAAAGTTGAATCGTTCATTAAAGGCATTTTATTTATTACGATTAAAGCTGTAATAAAATTCTTGAATGTGAACTTGTCTGGATTGATGACTACGTATGACTTAAAAGAACGTCGTTAATAAGTCAGTTATTGGCCTATGACGTCGCCGACGAATAATGACCAATAATTGGCGATATAATGACGGCAGTGTGCCGCATGGGTTTAGTGTTTGATATTTTTGCTTTTCTTAATACACGTTTAATTATGGGTGACCTCTAAATGTTAGATGTCATAAATTAAAAAAAACGTTGTGGACAAAAAATTTTTAACACTTTTATTTTTGGACTACTTGTTATATCGGTATTTTGTTTGTTTATTAAATGAGTAAGGACCAGTTTATTAATATCCATTTAAAGTTGCAGTCTGGTAGATAATTTTCATGTAGGTATACCATTGTTCTCACAACAATCGATATGGAATTTAATTGTCAGATCTGATAGACTAACTGGAACTTAAGCAGAGATTGATAAACCGGCCCTAATTGGCAAAAGTAAATTTGTTCAGGAGCGTAAAATCCCCCAAACACCCCCTCCGAATTCGCCATTTATACAATTATTGGTCATGCAATGTTTTTTGTGATTTTTAGTTCTTAAATTTATTTTATACTTTTATTTTCTATTCTGGAGGAATGTTACAAATTTCAGGAAATGTTAGTTTGGGCTATTTTGGTCCGAAAATTCCAATATTAACATTCCTAAAACTAGATACAGATGTTAATTTTTTAAAATTTTTGGAAACACGCCAAACAAACATAATAAAGTGTTGATTTAAGTAATCCACCAGAAAATATCTGAGCATTAAAATTATGTATTTAGCTTTACCATTGACGTACTTAATTTAAAAAAAGTATATAAATTTTTTTATATACAGCGGAATAGTATACAGCGTGTCCCAAAAATGACTTACTAACGGTTTATATTATCACGCTGTGGGTTGGTTATTTTAAGTCATCAAACAATTTTAAAACAATTTTTTGACCAGTACCTAGCTTTGTTATTTTTGTTATTTCAATGTTTTGAGACTATTTATTTTCTAAAACCGTTTTACCTTCATACTTAAATATTTAAGCACGCTATTGTACAACGTCAGTTACTGACCACTTACTGATTAGCTACTGACTAGTTTCTAACTGGCCACTGTCTGTAATTTTGTAAATTTTGAAAATATTCAAAATACATATTTGAATAAATTGGAAATTTTAGAAAATAATAATAATTTTGAAACTTCCAAAATTTTCACTCGCCTTATCGTTTTATACTCATCAAACCCTTTAATTTGAAACTCATGTCAAGCAGGTTGTAAAAAAATAGGCAATACATATAAAACGCTTCAATTTTTCAAACTTGCTAAACATTGCTAAAGAAGTTTCAAATCAAAAAGTTAAAATTTGCTATTAATTTCAATTTTTTGACAAACTTTCAGAAAATACATCTGCCAACCATGTAAAATTCAGGTCGCTGCAGATGCATTGTTTATTTGATTACATAACAACGTTTTATAAACTTCTCTAGACACTCATTTTTATTAAACACACGCTCGTGCATAATTAAATTCGTAACTAAAGTGGCGTTTATAAAACTTGATACTTAATATACTATTATCTACTCCTACATTGACGAGCTGTGACTTTATGGCGTTTTAGTCACCGGCTGAAGTTATCAATAGAGGTTAAAACCGTTTAAAGTTAACAGATGTCAAATGTTTAACAAATATAATCGGCTTTAAATTTTTCTTCGTAGATAAACTCGTTTTATTATCTTCTCTAGACAGTAGTTTTTATTAATCAGTGATTAATAATCACTCACTCGCTCGTAAATAAAAAGGCGTTTATAAAACTTGATACATAATATATTATTATAATACGTATACCATTTTGAAATAAAAACATACTTCATACTTATAAAGTTTATTATCAAAAATGGATTGAAACAATTAAAATAAAGATGTGACTTGGATAAAAATGCAATTTTGCATTTTTCAGAGAACAATATGTATATTGATTAAATGAACTTGAATAAAACCGGATTTATTTTCTAAAACAAGTCAAAATTGAAATAGTGTTACATTCGAGGGAATATGAATTGTCAACATATCAAAATAGAATATTTCGTATACTGGTAAAACGCAGAAATTATAAACATGTTTAGTAAACAACAGAATGAACGAGAGAATACAATATTATTACAATTATTATTATTTCAATTAAACGGACATTACAATTAACTGGATTACTTACCTATTATAATAATAATAATTATTAATAGGTTTTTAATATAGGCCAATAATTTTGGTGCCTATAGGATTTTGAAACTGGTTTTAGTTAATTTTAAGTTGCTGAATCCAAAAATGAAAGCTGTACTTGAAGTTGTGTAAGTACTTGTTGTTGTGTAAGTTATTCTGATGTGTTTTGCCACATATATGAAGAACATACGTTAAAAGAAAATACAAAATTTTAGTGAATTTGTAAAGCTTATCTTGGATAAGAGGGGATGTCATCAATTCCATAATGTTTTAAACAGGAGGAGATGAATGGCCTCATCAAATATGAAAGAGACAATTTCACAAGAAAAAGGAACCAAAATTACCTTTTACCGTACAAGGAAAAGGGTCTGCCACCTTTCTTCTCTCAAGAAGACAATCTTGTATTTTGTTACTATATTAGACTCCTATAAAACGTGGCTAAGTTTGTGTGTCCTTCTACACAATGGGAACAATACTAATTTCTCACTCAACGAAAATGAAAGAATAATATATTACCACAGCTTTGGTATTGGAGAGGATAAAGTATCATAAACATCAATAGGTGATTTTTGTAATGGTTAACTTTTTTTGGACAGCAAAGTGGCTACACCAAATATACTTGCTTCTTGTACCTTTGGAATAGCAGAGACAAAACACACTGCTGGGTTAGAAAAAAATGGCCTAGAGAGAAAACATGGAAGTTAGGGAAAATAATGTCATTAAGGACCCCTTATTTGAACAAGAAAAAATCATCCTTCCTCCACTGCATGTCAAGCTAGGTCTTATGAAGCAGTTCGTGAAGGCTCTTGACAAAAGCGGATCATGCTTTGCATATATAGAGCCTTAGTCAAGTTGGGAAAAATTTATAGCCGGGATATGTAATGGCCTTCGTAAATTTGATGAATGAGGCTAAGCCAAAGTCCTGGACTTCTTTTATTGCAGTAGTCTTAAATTTTCTGGGAAACGCAAAGCTAAAAACTATGTTGAACTGGTAAACGAGATGCTTAACAGTTTCAAATCCCTTGGATGTAACAAAAGTATGAAGGTGCACTATTTACACCCACTTAGATCGCTTTCTTGAAAATTTAGGAGACTGAGTGAGGAACAAGGTAAAAGATTTCACCAGGATAATAAAACTATGGATGGCCGCTACCAAGGAAGATGGAATTAGCACATGATGGCAGATTACTGCTGAAGTTTAAAAAGGAAATGTTCCAAAATACATTTAAGAAAGTCGCGGAAAAGAACCTTCAGTGACTTCAGTGTTTAGTGACCATGTAGTTGGTTTTATCGACTGTTTTGGCTATATTTGTATATGATATAGTATAATATAATATAATTATATATTTGTATAATATAAAAATAAACATTACATTTCATTTGATCCAAGGATTTAACTTTAAACGTGTCGAACGTATATTTCAATAAATTTGAGATATTTCAGAAATTTGAGCTGAAAACTAATGCCCTATTTGAATTCAGAGCATACAATTTATATAAAATTAGCTCCAAATACCCCAGCACCAAAACGTATTATAATAAATATAAAAAATCACATTTTCATTATATTTTTTCTAGATTTGATACACTCTTCCGGACTGGTTCATCGTAGAAACAACATCTCTGAAGAAGATGCAAAAGTGGTGGCAAGTCTCAGGAACGCCGGAGCTATTCCATTGGGGTTGACCAATGTTTCCGAACTATGTATGTGGTGGGAAAGCAGTAACAACGTTCACGGAAGATCCCGAAATCCCTATGACTTCTCAAGAATCGTCGGAGGGTCCTCTGGTGGCGAAGGAAGTTGTCAAGCAGCAGCGCTATCTGCCTTTGGTAAGTGAAAAATTATATGAAATCAATGTTGTAGAAGGCTTCTTAGTATTGAATTCCTAAGATCGGATTTAAGTTGATTTTACTAAACAATTATTATAAGTTAATAATAGAGATCGCAGATGCTCGAGCACTTTTAAAAGTGTCCATAAGTCTCGAGCATTTTTAAACGCTTTAATTATTAAAGTTTGATATGATGAGAAATTTTGTTCTTGGAAAATGTATGTAAAAAAATATCAAACAATTTTAAAAATCACGAGCGCTTTATGAGCATTATTAGTGCTCATCCTTCTCTAGTATAACAACCAAAATAATGGTCAAAATTAAAAAAAAATCAGCTTTAATCTTGATTTTTGGACTAAGCAAATTTGACTCAATCTTAAGATTAATTAATATTTGTTTGTAAAGTATCTGCTGTTAAATTATTTACCATCCTGTATAATATACAGTGTATATAAATAGCAACATTGCGTTTAAATTACCATCCATAGATAATTTATGGTATATCATTTTGATCTTGTTAAAGTAGTTTCTACCTTAATTAAATTTTGTTGCGTACTTATTTCCTTTGTCAGTAAAAGCAGAAAAATCCTCTTAAATTTTTAAGTAAAATTTTTAATTTGCTAGATGATGAAAGTTTTGCATTCTTATCTATGGATGGTCATTTAAACGTAAAACGTAAGCAAAAATTAAAAAAATATATTTCTTAAAATTCGGTTTTAATTTTTTTTAAACAGTTCTTACTATAAAGTAATGTTTATATACATTTAGTTACTATAGTAACTAGAAACAACGTTTAATTTTAACTACACGCGCGGATGGAATTTAATTTTCCACTCATATTACGGGATATGACCATTCTAATATCACTTTTTAATGTGGAATTGCATTTATATTCCTTAAAGTGTTACAGAATGAATTATTCTTTCACAGGATGACGGAATAACACATATACAAATCATTTCTAACCAAGACTGTTTTCTTTTCTTGGTGTTAAAGTAGGGGAAGTAAGAATTCCCTATTAAAATGCCATATAGAAACACAAAATAAAAATCTATCTGGTTCAATATACGAATTTGAAACAGGCATTGCACTATAATATTGGACCAGATAAAATTCCATACGTGGAAAACCATATAGAAAAGTAAATTCTATATGGATTGCCATATAGGTTCTATTCTATCTGGTCCAATATGGTTTGGGTGTGAAAAAATTATTACCATATAGATCCATATTTAACCATATAGGGGAATCTATATGGTTTAATATGCAATTTTCGTTTAAATATATATACATTTTAAAATGGAATTCCATATTCAACCATATAGGGAAACCCTCGGGGAAACCTATATGGAAAGACACATAAAACAGAAACCAGATAAATCCATATAAAAATCCCTTTTAAAATGAAATTCCATATTAAACCATATAGATTCCAAAGTGTAAACCAGGTCGTTCCATATAGGACATATAGAACCATATAAATCCATATTAGTTTCCTTATCTGGATCAATATGGGTTCTATAGGGCAATTTTAATAGGGAATCACACGGGCGATTGCATTGAGGCGCATGCCAGTTTAAAAAATATATAATAAATACTTTTTAATAAATTGTATATAAAAATTGTATAAAAAAAAGCATTTAACAATAATAAACACACAAAATGATGATATTTTACATTATATAATGGCATGTTTATAACAGCAAGAATTTGGCAACGTCGTATTTCTACCACGATAGCCAAAAGGTTTTTATCATAGACATACTAATATGTAGATGGTTTTATAATAAACCATTTTGTTTCTTTTCTGTTGTATACCAATTATTTTGTGCAAATGCTTCCGAATTTTTTCACCCAACTCTTAATTAATTTCACTGATGGAGCACGATTAATGATTGGTCGAGAAAAATCTCCACGCGGCGATCAAAGAATTATTGTTTTGTATGTATAGGGTTTCACCTAAAGAACGCGTTCCTTACCCTAAGAGCGTTAATGACCTTTATCACTATCCCACACTTTTAAATACTGCGCAGTATTACTTAAATTTGCCTCTGGAAACCCTGTATTATTTTTAATTTTTTTGCAGGTATTGGTTCCGATATTGGCGGTTCCATTCGTATGCCAAGTTTCTTTAACGGAGTTTTCGGCCACAAACCATCCCCATTGACCGTACCCAACCACGGACAATACCCACAACCCATCACCGAGGAACAGAACATATTTTTAGGAATTGGACCAATGTGCAGAAGGGCCGAAGATTTGACTCCCATACTTAAAGTCATAGCGAACAAATCGCACTTGGAAATGATGAGACTTGACGAACCTGTCGATATACAAAAAGTTAGGTTTTTCTATCAGGAAAGTGACACTGATTCGTTTTTGGTTTCACCAGTTGCTCAGGAAATTAAGGATTTGTTTCCAAAGATTTGCATTTACTTGAATAAGGCTCATGGAATCAAGGCTTCAAAGGTATGTATAGCAAGAAATTCCATTTAAAGAGTTGACTTATAAACACAAGAAAAATATAATATTTTGTTGTTTTTGTTATTTTTAGGTTTCGTTTAAAAGTTTCGGAAAGAGCGCTCCCTTATGGTTCGCTAATATGAAAGCACCAAGCGGTCCAAAGTTTAAGGACCAACTGGCCAACCTTGACGGTACAATAAACCCTTACGTGGAACTCCTAAAATGGACTTTGGGAATGTCCCAACATACTTTCGTAGCTCTAGCTACGTGTCTAGCTGACAAAACAGGGTGTAAATATGGCGACTCAGATCACCAGAAGCTGGTCAGCATGAGAAACGACTTAAAAAATGATATTCTCGATCTCATCGGAGATGATGGTGTATTTATTTATCCCACACATCCAACATCTGCTCCATACCATAACGAACCAATCTTCAAGCCTTTCAATTTTAGTTATACGGGTATAATGAATATTTTGGGCGTTCCGGCCACCCATATCCCCATGGGTCTGGATAAAAATGGACTGCCAATCGGAGTGCAGGTAATAGCGAAACCTAACAATGATAGGTTATGTTTGGCGGTTGCTAGAGAGTTTGAAAAAGCTTTTGGAGGCTGGGAACCACCTTCAACTGTTTAAAAGAATTTCCTTTAACAACATAACACACACCACATTGCTCAATTGTGTGTTAAGGCCAAATTGAGATTGAGCATATAAACTAACAGGTGTACCCGTTAAAAATTATCGTTTTTAATTGACAAATGGATAACGCTTATCGAAAAGGAACCAAGCGCCAAAAAATGTTTCTGGGCTTAGTAAAATTATTTGTAAAATAACTCACTTTTCTCAAAAGGATTGAGAAGGTTCCCAAATCATTATTAATTTTTTGAGCAGCATTAAAAATGAGTTTTTTTGCAAATAATTTGATTTATCCCAAAAAAAGTTTTTGGCGCTTGGTTCCTTTTCGATAAACGCTATCCATTTTTAAAATAATAATTTTTCAATCGGTACAACGGTATACCTAATTGTGTCTATCTATATTAATAATATTTTTATATTTCGTGTTGTGATAAAAAGTATCTGATTTTGCACCATTTGTGTGAAAACTGTTTGTCATATGTTTATTAATTGTTTACTTCAGGTTCCAAATAATATATCTAATATACGTTTATATCTTATACAACATGTCTACATACATTATTTTTGTATTGGCGTTTATATTTCTTAATAAAAAATGTGTGTCCATATACAATAAACAGTAGTTTTATTAATTACCATAATTAAAACATGACGTTAAATATTTATTTATTAATTAGACTAGAACATAAATATATAGCGCTAAAGAACTAAATGCATAATTTAAGAATTATATACATTCTTACAACTAGAGATACATACATAAATAAAACAATATAATACAAAACAAATGTTAATTTTTTACATAGTAAGTATTGTTAACTGTTAACTATATGAGTATTATTAATAATAATAACAACAAAGTTAAATCACAAGCCTTCATTCAACTGCATTTAACAGCTTTACAATTTTATTTATTCTGAAATTTACTATATAAATGGCAAATTAACAAAAATGAACACAATATTTATTTACAAAGAACAGAGCAGTTTTCATTATAAAGTTTTCAAACCTAAACTATCCAAAATTGTCCTCTGGAAAATTCTGAAATCGAGGGCTCCTAGATGTAACCCTAAACTCTGGCGGCATGTTATAGCACTTGCAAACACAGCAAGAAGGGAACCTGAACCAGTCAGAAAAAATGCCTCTGCATTCATTATTTGGGTCGTAGGCCAGAAGCCTGTGAAGTCGATATTGTTGCTCGCATCTGCAACCTTCTCTGCAGTACATTTGACGATGTTCGAACGTGCATTTTTCCCAATGAACGTATTGTTCAAAAGGGTACATGTTGAGCAGTGCCAGAACTTCACCTCTTGTATTGTTGGCCCAAAAAGGGGCCACAACTTCCTCTTTTACTGGACAAGCGTTACTAAAACATTCAACAATGAAAATAAGGGTAAGTTAAAATTTCACACACTGCAAATGAAAAAATATTGGCGGTATTAAAGTTCTATGAACCTGAATATGGTTCAATTCAAGATTTGACCTTTTATATTCGCAACTCATTTGTCCAAATACTTTGATGCTCTATGGACGTTATTACCTTCAAGTCATTGAATATTTTGTGATAAATAGGAATTTAATAAGTATAGGAAATTCCAGGTACTGAATACTTCTCAACAGGCAAGTTTCTCCATACCTATTTGCAGTCAAAGGATTTCTACACCTGAGTCAAGCGTTTAAATCTCGTGCTAATGAATGTTATTTATTCTGTTTTACGTGGAGGTATTTGGGTACAAATAAACATTGTATGCTCTATATTTGAGTCGAGGATTTAAATTTGAGGATGAGGAAGGAAACTATCCAGGATGGTAAACAAAAAAAAACGTCAAGAGACGTAAGTGACCTCATATACGAGAGCCCACACTGCTTTTTATAATAATTTTGTTTTAAATAAATGAATACTTTTGTTTTTGTTTTTTATAAATGCTTTCTGGAAGCATTCTCATTCACAATACCATCAACAAGCATTTATTCATCACGACATTTAATATAGTTCCCACAAGGCTTCAAATCTTAAATTCACTGTGTGTTTTAAATACAGTCAATATTTTTTGTTTGCCGTGCAGTAAAAAGTATTGATATATAAATATTAGACTGATTACAAAAATCGAGTATTTTTTCAAAAAGTATATCAAAAATATCGTTAATTAAATCGAAAAAATAATACAAATAAACATTCTAATTTTACAACTCATTAACTTGTCCGTGTAATGACCAGAATAGTTTTTTGTATAAAATTGAACGTTCTACAAAAAAGGTTTCATATTATTTTATGATAAATTCACTCTTTTAAAAGTTATCCAAAGGTCAAAGTTAAATTTTAGGCCACTAATTGTACACTGCCCGTCAAAATTAACGCATAATAATTCTAAAACGCCTTTACCAATCTTTATAAAATTTTGGATAAAAATACTTTAAAAAGATCTCAGTTTACGTGTTCAAGGGTTTTTCGAGAAAATATCCTTAAAGCCCTTTTATTTAATAATAAAAACACGCTAAAAAAACTTTTATAAGGAATTTTTTTTAAGTAAAAAAAAAATATGCTGTGAAATACCGTATTTTTGTAAGTCTACCCAGAAAATGTTGTACAAATTAAACGAGCAGTAACGAAAATACAGCGCTTTAAAGTCGTCAAAAATGACCACTTTTCAGCAAAATAATCAAAAAGGGGTCATTTTTACCTACTTTGAAGAACTGTATCTTTGTTACTGTTTGTTTGATTTGTACAAAATTTTCAGGGTATACTAACAAAAATACGATCTTTAACAGCAAGTTTTTATTTACTTAAAAAAATTCCCTAAAAGTTATTTTTCAAACTTTTTTTTATTATTAAATAAAAGGGCTATAAAAATATTTTCTCGAAAAACCCTCGAACACGTAAACTGAGATATATCTCATATATAAGTTGAAGTATTTTTATAAAAAGATTAGTAAAGGCGTTTTAGAGTTTTTTTTTTACTTATGCGTTAATTTTGACGCGCAGTGTAGTATATTGACCCAAGTTAAAATTTTATTTTTTTATTCAAAAGAGCATAAATTAAATAGTATAAATTCTGGTTTTCGGATTGATTCGAACAAACCCCAAAACTAAATTTTAAGATTTTCCTACTTTTTCCGCTACCATCTATCTACATTGCAAAATTTCATAGGACCTTTTTGTAGAGCGTTTAATTTCTTTTAGCAGAAGAAAAATATTCTCGCAATTAAATAATTTTGGCATTGTAATTAAATTAAAACATAAAATAATGTTTATGTTTACTTACACTCCCTTTGCTTTGTAGTTGACGTTCATTTTTTTCTTCGTCGGATCATCCATGTCCTGAAACAAGATAGCGCCAGGTTTACTACTATCACCCTGTGTATCTTCCACACTACTAACATCACTTGGTGTCTCCGTACTTGAACTTTCACCTTCAGATGATTCACCAACTCGGTCTATCGTTTCGATGATGGTGGTTTGCTCTGTGTTTAACTCTGTCGACGATATTTCATCCACTTTTGTGGTCGTTGTGGGTTCTTCTGTGGTCGTGGTGGTCACGGTTTTGGTTGTTGAAGCCTTTACAGAGTTTGATGTAGTGACTTCCTCCTCTTTTGCCACAACAATTTTAGTTATATCTTTATTTTTGCTATCTATATCCTTCTCCGGAAGTCTATCGATAGAGTTTCTCTGTGTGGTGGGTCGAAAATGTGGCGCTGTTTTTAACCCAGCCAATTTGATCGCCATTGCGGGTTCTTCTGAGTACACGAACTTGGTTTTCAAAACATCGTCGTTTTTGACGTCGTCCCTTAAAAATCTGGGTTCATTGTAAGGTTCGGAGAAAAGATCGTCTTCGGCGAAAACATCGTTTTCTATATCCTCGTCGTGTTCGTAACGAGAGTACCTGGGGTATTTGTCTCTTGGAGGTTGCCAGTCTTTTAAGGGATCATAGTCATCTAAATCTTCTTGGAGTTCGACTCTTAGAACGTGACCATGACGTTGGTCTCCATACATCCTTTTCATCAGCCCCTATAATTACAAAATGTGGTTATGTTATGTATTATTTAGGTTTAATAGATTTTTCAAATGTTATTTGGTAATGTCTTAATGATTTTTAACTTTTTTTACAAGTAAAGTTTTATGATTTACCTGGTTGTCCTTTACGAAGCGTTTGACTGCGTGCCATGGGTATGCCTGTCCGGCAGATACGCAGTACCCCATTCGGTTTAAGTCACATGGTGGTTGGTACATTTTACCAGATCTATATGGTCTTCCACAGGCGGCTTGATCACTGCCTCCTGAGTCGTACCCAAAACCCACGGATCCATAGGCACAGAGCTGGAGAAAAGAAAAAATCTTATTTATTTTATACATTGGGAATTATATAATATTATCTATGCAATGGTAAATTTTTTTTAGCTTTTTATATGGAGCATCTCATGCAAAATTACGTTTTTTTAAATAGTCCAAATTTACCAAAAAAGCCGTTTTTGTTCGTTTTAGAATGAACTTTATAAAAAATAAGTCGGTGTAGTGGTCAGAAAATATACTAAAATAGGTACATTTTATTTGATTTGAATTTGATTTGCCTACAAACTGAGAGGTCGTGGGTTCGAATCCCACAATGATATGGTTGTTTATTTATGTTTGTTCCATTGTATATTTAGGTCCTTTGGTCCGTTCCTACCCCTAACCCGTACAAGCCGTTCAGTTGGCTTCTAGTACTTCTTAGATTGGAACTAAATAGAGCACTTTAGTATACTTTTGTTAAAATAATGGAAAAAATGCAAAAAGAGTTAAGACGGCATCAAACGCAGAATGAGATTTTTTAAACATTTTTTTTTTCGGTTAAATAATAAAGCAGTATTTCGTGTCGGCTTTGAAGGTGGTCGACTTGGCATTTGTCATAAATATTAAAAAACGTTAATAATGACATGTTAGTTAATTTTAAAAATTTAAGGTTCAATTGTTTTAAAAATGTTTTATCTACTTCTGCATTGACGAGCTGTAACTTTATGACGTTTTAGTCACGGGCTGAAGATAAAAACATTGGCTTTTAAGCTTTTTAGTCACGAGCTGAAATTAGCTTTATTATTATTTTGGTAAAAGTAAGGTTAAATTTGGGTGACAGATGTCAAATTTTTAACAAATTAAATTGGCTTTTTGGTATGTTTTGAAGGCGTCGTAGATAAAGTATAGTATGCCACTTGTTTATAAACTTTTCTAGGCACCCGTTTATATTAAACACTTGCTCGCAAGCTTCGCTCGTGCTCGTAACTCGTAACTAAAATGGCGTTTATAAAACTTGATACATAATATACTATAAAACTGTTTTTTGGTTTTAATAATGCGAATGCGAATAAATGCGCGAAACGCACGAATTACGAAACTGTTTTCATAAAAAAATGTTTAGATAATTTATTATATAGTATTTTGGCATCAAAATTGTTAAAAATATTCTTCTTTTATTAGGCTATACATTAAATAAAAAAACACAAGAAATATTTTATAAAAGTAGAGAATTTAATAATTGAATGGTGTGGACGGGACAAAAAAAGATTTATCTTGTCCCGTCCACACCTAACAATTATTAAAATTACATCCACTTTTATAAAATATTTCTTGCATTTTTTTAATTTAATTTATAGCCTAATAAAAGAAGAATATTTTTGACAATTTTGATGCCAAAATATTATATATTAAATTATATACCATTTTACTTGAAATAGGACAACTTTGGTGATATGTTAATTTTGTTTTTTGTTAAACAAATATTAGAAATATTTCTTAACACAAAAACAAAACATAAAGTTACACTTCGCTTCTGAAGATGCCAATATCGTTGGCGAAAAGTACTTTGTGTTTTGTTTTGGTGTTTTGGAATATTTCTTATATTTGTTTAAGTATTTTATGTTAAAAATTATTATTTTTCATAACAGCTAGGCCCATTTAAATAATGGGCGGCAAATTTTGGAAGGCGGAATTTTTTTTCGTGGCCACTAATAACAAAGTATTAACTCTTTTTTTTACTTTTGAACTACAGTGTAGTATTAATAAAAAGTCCTTCTATATAGACTTATAAGTGTTATAATATTATAGTATTTTATTATACGAGATAATGCGCATTATTTCGAGTGTAATCAGGGCGTTCTCTAGTATTACACCACGGCGTTCAATAGAGAACGCCGTGGTGTAATACTATGCTTTTTGAACTCCAATTAAGTAATTTTCATTAACAACAACATTTATTAAAACCCCACTTTCTCCCGTTGCCCCTCGTATATATAAAAAATCTGATATCTGTTAACCTTAATTTTCCCAATTTAAAACCCGATTGGTTCAAATAACAGTGAATATTGAAATCAGCCAATCACTGATGCCTAACAACGTGAATAATGAGTTCATTATTCCCGTTGTTAGGCAGAGCCGTTATTTAAGGAAAAAACCCAAATAATGTCAATTATTAATAATTATTATACGCTTAAAAAAAAATTCATTCCAAATTTAATTAATTAAAAATCAATTAGAATCGAAAAAAAAATATTCAAGATTCAAATTTGTTGCTCAAATAATTAAATTTGAAATCTATTAAATATATTTGTTTGAAATAACCTCGGAAATAACCAAACTAATTCTTAGTTTAGGCGGCAATTTAGTTCAGCCTATAGGCGGTAAATTTGTAAATTCGACTCTCACGAAATGATTGGAACACTGTACATATTTAATGTGCAGAATATTTATCACTATAGCTCCTGGCAGTACTGATAATTGTGATAAAAGGACTGGATTACTGTTCTGCGCATCAATGGTTAATGTTTTCTTTTTTTCGTGTAAATAAGCATTTTCTTTTCAAAGTTTTACTGCCAAATTTGAATTTTTTAAAATATTAAATTTACAATATAAAAAAGTATTAATTTTATTGTAAAAATGTGTTTTACCGTCCTAAAAAGCGTTTTTCACGTAATTCTATAAAAGAATAACTTTTGTAGTTCAAAATGCATTTTTATGAAAATATATCGATTATTGTACAAATTACCAAAATAAATAAAAATTTGCAAGCGAGTCTAATAAATTAGCCATAAGTACATATACTTATATATAGTTAAGTAAAAAACCCTATATGAATTAGTTAAATTTAAAAACAATGATTGCAATTTTAATTTTAATAAACAATTAATAAAAGTTTCATGTAAAGACAAATTTTTATTTCTAATTACAAAAGTGCCTTCACTATTATATTTCAAAAATGGCGAATGCTCCGGGAATACTGTTTTTGTTAAATGGGAAGAATTTAACAAAATAAGTTAAAAATAATAATAATTATCATATTTGATAAATCATTTTTGTAATTTAGGGCCTTTGAATAAAAGGGGTATAAGTGCAGTTATCCTGTTAAGCAAAAATGCTTTATCTACAATATTAAGTAATAAAGGACGAAAGATCATTTTTATGTTTAATTTTATTAAAATCTGAAATTTAAAAAGTAGCATGGGTATTTTAAAAGGGTGTTTCTATCTATTTTATGAAAATGTATGAAATATTATTTTGAATGCAAAAAAACAAAATAGTAAGAAAAACGCATATTTAGGAAAGAAAAACTACTTATATATAGGAAAGAAAAACTATACATATGTAGGTAGGTAGTTCTTTATTCTTTAATATTGTATTGTTCTACCTTTTAAATAATTGTAAAAAAATGTAAAATCATAGTTATTGCTTGTTTAGTTTTTTAAGTAGTATACTACTATAGGCAATCAAATACTCCAATGGGAATAAATTTAATGTACCGTTCTATGGGTCTGTAGGCCATCTCTACTTAATCAATTGGTCAAATAAACGTGAGAACATTTTACACAATAGCCAATAAATAGATTTTAATCTTAACATTGGAAGTAATAATAATAAAGTTTTGCATTACAAGAATGCATGTAAACACAAGATAGCATTGTAGGTAATTATAATATAATTCTGTGGTAGAAAAAAGGTACATTTATTGGACAACAAACGCAAATAGAGAAAGAAAAACCAGTTAAAGTACAAAACAAACGCCGAACGTCGTGAAAGCAATAGTGCAACCGCTTGTGCATAAAAAACACGGTGTGGCACACTGACCCACTTTGGGACCGTGTTTCACTTCATTGAAAAATTGACGATCGCCTTTAGATGGCAAATTAAATTTTAAAGAAATTATAAAAGTAAATTTTCTTTATTCATAAGGTTTAATTAGAAAAAGTGTACTTCTGCATTTTTCAATAATCTATTATTTTATTGTTATTAATAAATACCTTGTCCAAAGTTATCTGCTCTCCATTGGTACCATTTTAACTCCTTTAATATTGGAGCTACAAAGTCGGTTAAATAAGCAAATTGGTGTAATTTTTTTATTTGGTTTAAATGGTAAAAACAGAAGAAGAAAAAATATTTTTTAATGGGACACCCAGTATATTTTTACATATTTTAATGGATAATTTGATTTGAAACAAAAAATATTATAGCATACCTACCTAAAATACACAATTAATAAGCACTTTCTGACGAAAAACCCAAATTATTAGGTACTTTATTTTATCAACAGTCAAAAAGTTCAAGTGCTTATTAATTGTTTATTTTTAAGTTTAGTGTAGTTATGCAATAAAAATGTTTGGTTTTAAATTAAATTCACTTTCAAAATATGTAAAAATATACATTTTAAAAAATGTAATTTTTGTGAATATTTCGAAAACCCGACGTTCAATAATTGAATAAAAAAAATCATAACAAATATTTATAATATAGTGTCCAAAGTTATCTGCTCACCATTGCTAACTTTTGGAGCTTCAAAGTATTTTTTATTTTTTTCTGAATAAAATGGTAAAAAAAGAAAACCAATTGAACTTGGAACAATTGGTTTTCTGTTTTTACTATTTTGTTAAGGAAAAGGAAAAATACTTTGTAGCTCCAATAATAACGAAGTTAGCAATGGTTAGCAGATAACTACTTAAGTTAAAGCTTTGGACACTATGTTATAAATATTTGTTATGATTTATTTTTTCAAGCGTATTCATATTATAACACTAGTCCATATAGTATAGAAAGTATAGTACAGAATAGTATATTCTGTAACAAGTTTGGAATACAGCATATTCCGCTCGAGTGAAGAGTTTGTCACACGAGCCGAAGGCGAATTTGACGGTTTCACGGGAGCGGAATATGCAATTCCAAACGTGTTTCAGAATACTATTCTGTACGTGGAGTGCCCATAAAACATTATCTTCACTTTCACTGTAAAAACTGCTTCTATATCGGATTTAAACGATGGTTAGTCCATTTTCAAGGGATATTTTTCGATTTACACATAA